CCAACATGTAGCCAAGGTGCAGCCAACATGTAGCCAAGGTGTAGCCATGAGTGCAGATATGTGGACTGACAACTACAGGAAAACAAGTTACATGGCAATCACCTGTCATTTCATTGGAAGTGACTTTAAACTAGTTGGAAAAACTCTTAACGACAGATGTGTTTCCAGCAGAAGATGCTAAAACAGGCAAAAACATAAGGAAGGAAATAATGCGCCTACTTGTTAACAAATTTGGCCTGGACCCCACTTCCCTCAATAAAATAGTATGGGTGACAGACCAGGGAAGCAATATTGTTGAAGCCTTGGAGCCAGACAGGAGGATTAACTGCCTTGACCATCTCAAACACAGTCCTGCACCATGGGCTGGACCCTAATGCACTTGCTGAAAATACTCCAGAAATGGGTGAGACCATAGCGGATGCCAAAGTTTTTTTGCAATATGTACAACGAGCTGTGTGAGAAGATGGAGGCTTGTGGGGAGCAGGCGTGCATGGACAACATCTCCCCTGACATGTTGGGATTTTTAATCACATTTCTAGAACCATTTTACCATGCACAGAGAGAACTGGAGGGTTACAAATATCCCACTATCAACCTTGTTTACCTCTGGAATGAGAAACTGAAGCAACACTGCCAGTCCTCACACAGACTTCCCACAGCAGGGGTTTGTGCACCACAGCCATGCAGAAGTACTGTAGTGTAAAACCATTATCCACGACTTACACAGATCTGCACTTTTCCTGTGGCCTAATTTTAACAAACTTAAAATGATGTCACCTGCTGATGTGTGTCAGGTGCACGCTCAGGTCCGCACCCTGCTACGGGTTGCATGACTACCAGTACACATTTTTTAAAGTCGACTTAAACATGATAAAAGTTGAGTCGACGCCAACTAGTCGCTGTGACGTCATAGGAACTCAAGATGCTATATCATATTTACAAAAACGTAATTTATTATTTACAAAAGAAAAAAGAACATCAAAACATCGGGAGTTTATATTTATACTCCTACAATTTATAATACTGCACATTAGTCACAGAAAAACCAAAACTATTGTTAAGCTGCAAAAGTTAAAGACACGTGCGGCGCGTAAAAAACAACTAAACACAGCGGGGCGGGCAGTGGTGCTTAATAAAAAAAATTTTCGGGTTTGGGCCTCTAATTACAGTTAAATGATCGAGTCCGGTCAGATTTTTTAGGCGCAAATGCAACTCTAAAGTACTCTAGTATAGGCATGTTATTTTTTTAATGAAATGTAGATTTACAACCAATTAAATCAGTTTTTACCCTCTTTGTTGTCTAACTGAAAACACCAAACATCAGTTTAGTGATGTGCCCCCAACTCCCATTCAGCAGGCCTGGTGCCCCCCGCAGGGGGGCCCGCCCCACAAGTTGAGAATTACTGCATTAAACGTTTGAAAAACAAACAAAGGTATATGCAGACAAACAAATCAAAACAGAAAAATAACTATAAAACCCCAAACTAAACAAATAAACAGTAATCGTACAAGCTGCAGTCCGTTCACGGGCCGTGTGAATCATTCAGTGCATACACTCCTCCTCACACAAACGATGCTCTGCGGGTATTTACACCTGTTAGAAAATATACTGAGTGATTCCAAAAAAGTTCAATCTGGTCCTCTGGACATTCAAAAAACAACAGAAAAAAAAAAAAGGCAAAAAAAAAAAAAATGTAGAAATGTTTCGTCTCTCATCCGAGAGACTTCCTCAGTCTGAGGTGCTGTATTCAGCTCAGTCTCTTAAATAGCACCTTCTCAGAGCGGATCAACCAGTTTGCTGCTGACAACCAAAACCAGCTGCTCACATGGTCAAGAAGGACCATCAGCCTAACAATGGATCATTAGCACACTGATGGCTGTTTACTATTCACAGGGGGTTGAGTGATACTAGCAATCACAGCATTGTAAGAGGGGGACAGTTGAACCCGGAGGCCTCCACCCCTGTTTAACGATGGACGATTTCTTTTCACAAAGATGGCATCCTTTACTCCTCTCTCAAACCATCGTTCCTCTCTGTCCAGGATGTGAACATCTTCATCCCTGAAAGAGTGACCGCTGGCCTGGAGATGAGTGTAGACCGCAGAATCCTGGCCTGATGATGTTGATCTTCTGTGCTGGGCCATCCTTTTGGCCAATGGCTGTGTAGTTTCCCCCATGTAAGACTGATCACAGCCCTCCTGACACTGAACAGCATACACAATATTACTCTGTTTGTGCCGGGGGACTGGATCTTTGGGATGAACCAGTCTTTGCCGTAATGTATTTTGGGGTTTAAAAGCCACTGGGACGTTATGTTTAGAAAATAAGCGTCTCAGTTTCTCTGATACTCCCTCAACATATGGAATGACCAC